TGTGTGTGAGAGAGAGTGTGTGTGTGTGTGTCAGTGTGTGTGTGTGTGTGTGTGTGTGTGTAAGGGTGTGAGAGAGGTCAAAAGAATTAGTAAGAGATCTTTTGCTCTGTAACAAATCCTAACTAAACAGCATTTTAAGGCATCACAGCCGCACACCTGATCACTTTAATATGTCCTTGCTGAATGAAAGTATTATATGAATGGTACTGACTACTACTAATTGGTAATGTATTATGGCTTCCACAAAAATATGAGGCAGCAAAACTGCTTATTAACACTGACAATAATCAGAAATGTTTTTTAGCAGCAAATCAGCATATTAGAATGATTTCTGAAGGATCACGTGACACTGAAGACTGGAGTAAATAAAATAAAAAATTAAATAAAATAATCTTAGTACAGAGTTGCTGCTTATGTAGAGCGTTCCAAATCAATCATGTTTGTTCCAATTCAGTTAGGATGATCCCTTAGAAGGCATCAAGCCTGCTCACTAGGTTCTGGAAAAGAATTATTGTCCTTTGTCAAATTAGAATAAGTTTGTGTGCTTGAGAAAAAAAAAGACAAACGATACCAAATAAATAGCGTGGCTGTCAGTTTTAAACCGCACCCAATTGAAATCAGACGACCGGTCGGACTGCTTCGTTTACATACGAACCTAGCTTGATGTCTCCATCCAGCGTGAGGAGAATGTTTCCAGCCTTCAGGTCTCTGTGGATGATCTTCATGCTGTGGAGATACTGAAGAGCCTCCAGCATTTGTTTACAGATCACCCGGATCTGAGGCTCTTCAAGACCCCTGTCCAGCTCTGAAAGACACAAACAATAAAGTCTTCAGACTAGTGCATCAAACACTTCAAAAGAAAAAAGCTCTTATATTATATTATATTACATTATATTATATAGACAATTTGAACCCTATTTTTAAAATTATTAAAAGGTATTTTACAATTAAAAATGAAAATTCTGTCAATGTTAAACACACAAACATGCATATTCAATAAACTTGAGTTTGAGAGGGCAATGAACTTTAAGTGACCTTGACTGGCTCGTTAAAAAAAAAACACCCAAAATAATGCAATATCCTGTTTAAACTTCAGGGGAAATGAGTGTGCCTACTCACCCATGAGCTAATAACCAAGATCATCAAAAGGAAGTTGCAGGGGGCTTTTATAAAAACAATAACATGAAGGAAAGCAATAAGAGATTCAGGTCTTACCTAACATGGTGGCATCGACAGCACCTCCGGGGCAAAACTCGATCATTATCTGTTGGGGGAAATGAGGTAAATTGTGAGAGGGTTTTGTTCAGGGCAGAGATTTCTGGCTCATTCAGACATAGAAGAACTCAGTGGAGTTGGAAGAAAAGAGTCATTTGATGTAAACAGGAAAAGGTGGTGCAGTGTATGCGAACAATGTCAGACTGATCCAGTTTATTTGAGAATTAGAGGAATGAACTTCATGACTCATACACTCATACAAAAGTTTGGGATCAGTAAGATTTTTAATGTTTTTTTGTTTTTTTTTAAAGAATTCTCTTCAAGGCTGCATTTATATAATCAAAAATACAGTAAAATCAGTAATATTGTGAAATATTATTATAATTTAAAACAGCTGTTTTCTATGTGAATATCTGTTAAACTGTAATTTATTTCGTTGATCAAAGCTGAATTTTCTGCATCATTACTCCAGTCTTCAGTGTCACATGATCTTCAGAAATCCTTCTAATATGCTGATCAGTGTTGGAAACAGTTGTCTTTTATATCACATTTTATCAATTTAACACATCATTACTGAATACAATTATTAATTTATAAAAAAAAAAAACATTGACCCCCAAGCTTTTGAATGGTAATGTATTGGTACAAACTAGTGCTGTCAAAATTATAAATTAATTTTTCCAGTTTAACGGCATTAAAAATATTTAACGCAGGGGCGGGGCTAGGGTTGGTTGCCCCATTCACAACTGCTGCTTCTGTCTCGTTTTTCTTGACAAAAATTGCGTTTATTTTATCTTTACGGGCACATCAAACGGGAGACTTTCCAGAACATCAGTGAACTGCGGTCAGATGAGATGTTGTCAGGCCATACGTCAGTAAAAACAAATTTCCCTCTCCTGTCTGCCGTTATACTGTGCTTGTAACACATGCTCTTTAATTGCACGCACAAATGCGCCGTCGCGCTGTATATCATTTTATATTCAAGTGCAATTATATATAAAAGGTTGTGAGAAAACACGATGCGTATCAGATCCGTGTCACGTTCAGCAGCGGCAGCTCTTAAAGTAATAGCAGCCGAAACAACCTAATAACCAGCTGCTGTGATGACTGTTCATCAAGAACAAAAGAAAAAGAGGAAATCAGTAACGTTTGTAGCTTTAAGGATTCGTCTATATTTAATTTAGAATTTAGTGTTTGATAACTTTATTTAACCCTACTTGCTGAAGGGCACAGGTAAATATGACATTTATTATAATGGGTTTATGTGAAGATTGTTTTAAGTTCACTTAAATTAGAAATTGTTATTTTTTAAAGTCTAATAAATGTTAAAATTGATAGATCTCATTTATACTGTAATGTTGAATGGCTATAATCAATGGTCAATTTCATAGAGACATCAGTATTATTGGTATCAGTGATACTCGCCTTCAGTCATAAAAATATGCCACTAAACAAATATTTATAAATATACTCTTTTTATGTTGTTTGTACATCAATTTGAAGATTGCATGTGAAATTATTGCAATATAAAAGTATATTTAAAAACTTTAATGTTAGGAGAGTTTAATCACGATTAACCGTGATTAATTTCAGAAAACAAATGTGCGATTAATTCGTTAAAAAAAAAATTTAATTGATTGACAGCACTAGTACAAACGATTTCTATTTTTAAAAAAAGCTGTTCTTTTAACTTTTTATTCATCAAAGAATCCTGGAAAAAAGTAGCACAGTTTCCAAAAAACAAATATTAAGCAGCACAACTGCTTAGAAAACTATCATTTTAAATTGTCATAATATTTCACAATATTAGGGTTTTCACTGTATTTTTGATCAAATAAATGCAGCCTTGATGAGAAGAAGAAACTTATTTAAAAAACATTATTTAACAAAGTCTTTCTGATGCCAAACTTTTGAACGACAAATACAGTAGTTTACACAAACTAAAAATCAACAGCTGTTTTTGAATCAGTCTGGCAGGCTGACAACACAACAAACTTCCAGTGACCAGAAATGTGTTTTATGCACACTAGAAGGGAAAATTCTGCCCGCGACACAATCAAAACCAAATCTGAGGTTTAATTTACAGTTATGTGGAACACAACTTTGGACCAGTGAGTTTCCACTGTAGGCGGGGCTTCAGTGCTGCAGAAATAACAACTTAAGGAAAAGAAGAAGAAGAACACGAAACTGAAAAAAAAAATGCCCTGCAGTCTGTCATTGCTGCAGCTGGTTAGGACAAAAACTGACATTTGCATGGAAGAGACAGACTTGTTCATAGCCTGGCTAGGACATGTGCTATAGTTTGACTAGAAAAATAATACTCAAATCACTCTTATTTCTATGGCACTTGAGTTATTCAGTGTCACTGGCTGAGTCTGTGCATGTATTTCTAGACTGTGCTGAAGTTTCAGTTTTTGTTCCTCTATTTGAACACATTTACAGATTGTGTAATAAAGATTAAAGATTAGGGATGCACAATATTGTTTTTTTGCCGATATCCCGATATTTTTCAACTCATCTTTGCCGATACCGATACCTATACCAATACCGATACCAATATATTTCCTTTTTTTGGAAACAACACCAAGTCTCTCCTGTGCAGAGATTCTAAACTAATTATTTTTAATTTTGATTCGTTTTTAACAAAAACTTATTTGTTAGAATTTTAAAAACCAATAATGAATTTCTTTTATAATGAGAGTGCATTGAAAGCTTTGAAAATAATTATAAATCAACTATAAATCAATCACTTTTTTTTCAGACAGACGCAGTGGTGGTAACCTTAACATTTTATTTAAAGATTTAACATTTGTAGATGGTCTAAAGAAAAAGAGTTGTAAACATTCTGAAAATCTTTCAGAGCTCATAATCTGTTTGAAAAAAAGAAAAAAACATTAACATTAATACATAAACAAACAAATCTGTATAAAATTATTTAATTAACAAGTGTCATGTTTGTGATTTTTATTCATGCAAGCTATATCTTCTGACCTTTAAATCAAAACATACCCATGATTTTACGACATCAGTTACTGCTTTATTTAATCAGAAATACAATCTTAATGTTATTTGTGTATTTTACTATCATTTTATTACAAGTAGGCCAACAGCGCCCCCTAGGGAATTAAAACTCTTTACCTGACGGGCATTAGGCCGCCGTTGCATGCGCTAGTGACTGTTGAATCTATTGCGCAGCGGATGCGTCATTGTGTTCATGCATTCTCAGTTTAAAAGCAGCGATCAAAACAGTGAATCTAATCATCATTCAGGCAATAATTCGCTTCAAGAATGACCACAATGCTGACTTGATGTTATCGCTAGCACACCCTGAGCACATGCGAGTTATTTGTCTTATCGGAAAGACTTATCGGCATAATTGTACATATCGGACCCATGCCAATGTTTACATTTTAAGCCATTATCGGCCGATTCCGATATCACAATAATATTGTGCATTCCTATTAAAGATAGATACTTACCACATAAAAACAAGACAAATTCCATTTAAATAAGTTAATTATATCGATCAAACATATTTTTTTTAAAAACATGGAGGATTTTTTAGCTGAATTAAAAAATAAATAATATGAACCTGCCTCTAGCAAAATATATGCAGTAAGTTAGGCCCAATAATAATTCAGTATCATAAACTCTTATATCATAAAAACGGGAATGCTATGACATGACTAACAATGTCATCACGTTCAAATGACAAAGATACACAATATCTCTATTATGTGTGTCAAAGCTGTTGATTAATCTTAACTTGATAAGTTCAACATACAAAAAGCCTTGCCATGTGGTGCAAATGATAACCACCTTAAATCATTTTGTTTTCGCAGTCAAAGCAAATTCCTGAGTCATTAGACAATTTCACAGGATTTTCTCAATGCTCTCTTCAGATGAATGGGATAACTGCCTACCTGTTTAACGTGAGCCAAGAAAACCTACACCTTACATCGCCAGCCAAAACAATAACGGACCAAGATCTTCACATACTGTAATTTGGCTGTCACTGATATGAATTTACAAGTTCTCCAAACAGTTCCACAAGGTTCCTTTAAAATGTCTATACAAATACACAAGAAGTAAGAGGAATTTACAGTTGTAGACAAGAATGACTCCTAAGCGATTGAGGTGTTCTGTTGTTGGATGTAATAATGAACAGCAGTCGTCATTTACTCCCGACATCTGAGCCACTGAAGACGCAGTGGATTACATTTGTTTCTTAAGGGAATACGGCCCCCGATCTACCTAAATGCGTCTATGTTCGCGCGAATCATTCGTGATCCAGCTTCACCAACAGAAGAAATGAGTATAAGGTTTTTATTTATGAATCTTTGCAAATCGCCTTTCCTAATAATGTGCTAGTTAGCAAGTTTCACGGTGAATGCGGCTAAAGTTTACCGTCTCTCAGAGAGTGGCTCGGAAGAGAGGGGCGGGGTCAGCAGAGCTCATTTGCATTTAAAGCGGCATGCTGTGAACAGAGCTGTTTTTGACAGGGTAAAAAGGGTGTTGTTTTACACTACATTGAGAAATTTTAACCAAAGTATGTTACAGACTTTTCATTAAGACCCTAAAGAATCATATCAAACTGTGGACAATGGGCATCCGATGACCCCTTTAAAGGTCACTATAAGGGGTGTGCACAAATAGTCAAATATTTGAATATTCGATCTGTAATTATTACATTTAAAAAAATACAAACACTATTTGAATGAATCGATGAATCGCCTGCGATTATGAACGCGATATTGCGTAGCTTGTCAGTGAAATACGGCTCTGTGTAGTAAATGCTGCTCCATCTGAAAGCACGTGATGGAGATTTACTACTGATTACAGAACCGGCTTTACTGAGGAGATGCGCATGACAATCGCATTCGATTATTTGCACAGCCCTATATCATATGCATGCCAAAGTCAATTTTTGCATATAAATAGCACGCCAAATCGAAAAACTCATGCTATTGATACGCACTTTCATGAGATTGGGTTGGACATACATATGTATGCTTCCTACCTAAGTTTCCTCGAGGGAGAGTGGTTTAA